AAAGAGTGATAATTATAAATCCTTACAGAATGTTGGAATAAAGAAGCAGCAAAGGCCTCTTGTTCCTTATTCACTACACCAAGTTGGATATTTTTGTAATATACCAAGGAGGATACGCATTATGGCTGAATCAATCAGATACAGCTGGCATGACTATCCAGTACCTACTCTGCAGCACCACCAAACCTCATTTTAACTTCAACAACTACTTTCAGCAAGACTGTAGTTTCCTCCTACTTCTGCTACTAGATTATTTGGATGAGTTTTCTTCACTATACTTTCCATTTTAAAAGCTATTGTCAATTCATGTTATTTGTGGGCACAGTCTCTGCTGCAACTAAACTTGTGACTGTCATGCTAATTTCAACTCAGCAGGAGACATGGCAGGACCAGAAAAGAATACACAGCACTCTATCAACCTTAAAATAAAAACTAAGACCACCTGACCTACTAGATTCTATACTTCAGTGCTCAGTTAAAAAAACAACAAAAAACAAACCTAAATGAAAACGAAGTTTCATCCATACATAAAACTGCCCAAGTCACTAGAATCCACCTTGAGACATCAGTGAATAAAAGTAATACTCATGGCTAACAACAATTACACACAAATTTTGTTTCAGAACAATTTCACAAAATGTTAAAGATAGGAATTTGCAAGTGCATCTACCATAAAACCATCTTACAAGGATGTACAAATAGTTCATATGCATAGGATAAGACCCTTTAAAATTCTAACCTAATAAATTCACATTCTGTGAATTTCAGTGCAAGTGTTTGCTTAATGACAGTAAAATAACAGTACTATTATTTATAATGTCAATCTGTTATTATTTGATACTTTTTCAGATCCAATGTGCTGAATTTGCAAAAGAAAATATTTTCCTCCTAGCTTACAACCAACTGCCAGCCAAATCAAATTATGCTCTCAAAAAATTATGTTAAGACTTCATTAGCAGTACTGCTGATGTCCCTCAAATCAAAACAGAATCCAGAACTCTCTAAAATATCTCTGTAGAGCCAATATGGTCCAAGAGTAAAGAACAGCAACAGCGTCTATAAATCACCAAGACACGTGTACATTTAAAATCCTATTACTTTACTGACTGTAAGTACACTTTAAAAAGGAAGGGCAAGAGAAGATGCAGTAGACTATTCTTCTCTCTGACAGCATGGGAAGCAACACGTATTAACAAGCCAGTGTATGTTTAAGATGCTTGTCCTGGGTTCAAATATAACAGTTATTTTTCTCCTTCCTAGTAGTCGGTGCAGTGCTGTGTTTCGGCTTTAGTCTGACAACAGTGCTGATAACATATCAATGTTTTAGTTGTTGCCCAGTAGCAACTTTTCAGTCTCATGCTCTGCTAGTGAGGAGGGGCACAAGAAGTTGGGAGGAAGCAGAGACAGGACACCTGACCCAAACCGGCCAAAGGGCTATTCCATACCACAGCACATCATGCCCAGTATAGAAACTGGGGGCAGTCACCCGGAAAGGAAGACTGCTGCTCAGGTCGAGCTGGGTATTGTTCAGCGGGAGGTGAGCAAATGTGCATCACTGCTGTTTACTGGGTTTTTTTTCCCCTTTCCCCTCCAAGTTCTATATTCTGTCCTCTTGTTACTTCCCTTATCAGTATTATTAGTAGCAATTGTTTTATAGTAGTAGTATATGAGCAGTAATAGGTATTACACTTTAGGTATTGGACTGTTCTTATCTCAACCCATGGGGTTTACATTCTTTTGAGTCTCCTCCCCACCCCAGCTGGAGGTGGGGAAAAGGGGAGGGGTAGCAAACAGCTGCATGGTTCTGAGTTATCAACTGGGCTTAAACCATGACAATGCTTTCATTCAGGTTTGGTGCAGTCTTGAAGAGGTATAGCCACTTCAGTGTCACACTCTTCATATTAACTGTTCTATCACCTCCACTGAAGAAAGTCCAAAGAGGCAATTCATCCTTTGACCAAGATTCGCACACATTTACGAACTGTTTTTCATTTTCTGTTAGATGGTATATTACTTGAGAGTTGCTAAAAAAAAAAGGAATTCCTTCTAACATAGCTGTCTTTAATAGAGGAAAATGAAACAAAACAACGCACTTCCGGATTTATTCTTAAAGACTATCTTACAAATTTAAAACAGCAAAGGAGGCCAGACCAGAACTATTTTGTTGCCATGGGGGAAGGAGAAGGTTGGTTGTTTAGCTCACTAGGGGGTTTGTTTTATTTTGGGTCAGGTTGTGGGGCTGGATTTTTTGTCTGGGGGTAGGGTTTTTGGTTTTGAGATTTCTGGAGAAAACATTAGTGACAAGTCATAATCTATGATGTTTTACAGCAGGATTAACCTCTGAGGGCCTTAGGTTTTACAATCATTACAACAAAGAGAAAGGATTTTGACACACATTCCTTCCTAACCTCCTGGGTACATAGGTAAGCAAATCATACTGTGTCTTCAGTACCAAAATTAAATGTCTGATTTCCCAAGTACAAAAACTATCTCTGAAGCACTAACTTGCTCTCCACAGAAGCATATGGTCAGAACTGCCACATTTCTGTAAGTCATTTACAAAGTTATCATTTGTTGTCTTCCATTTTACAGTTACAGTTGTTGCCATCACAAGCCTAAAAGGAGGAGATTCACATAACAGTGAGAAGAATCCATGACACCTATGTTTCCTCTTTTACCAGAGGCAATTCACAACGCAATCCAGCTTCAAATCTCTCCTCTTAAGGAACTTTTCTATCCATTACAAAATTTGCTATGCAAGCCCTGTGTACTAAATATTTGAACAGCTTTTGTGAATAAAAACATTAACTACAGAAAGGTCCACAGGACAGAACTGCATTCAAAAACATTGTACAATTTACCTGTACTATTTCCATAGTTTGTTAGTACACAAGATATAGTAGGTTCTGGAAACATAAGGTATGCAACTCTGCTCTAAATTAGTGAGACAGCAATACAACAAGCTTCAAAGTTTAGCTGAAGGACTCTTGATTTGCCAGAATACCTTTTAAAATTAATCACTTCAAAGAAATGAATAATACAAATGCAAACTTTTAACAAGACAAATCCAGTAATTAAGACATTTCCTCCTCTCTGAATTTAGTTTTCCAAAACTTACATAGTATCTTAAATGCTTATTTCCAACACAGGCAATGAGAATCAGACCAAAACTTCTGTATCTGTTTGTCTTATGAATGGGCATAAATTTTAACAGTACGTATGTTAGAAGTACTGTTAATGCTTTTCATATGGTCTGTTTTCATTTCATTCCCACAGGCTTTACCAGACTCTTAGGAACAGAACTATTTTTTTTTACAGATTACATCTTAATTAAAACACACAAAGCAGCACCTGACATCAGTCTTCTGATGCTTTCAAGTTGTGCTGTCAACAGCAGCTCTTCACATTTCAAGATCTCAAACTGTACTTCATATAGCTGAAGCTGTAGATCATAATAGTCAGCTTCTAACTGGTCCAAATGGGCTATAGCTTCTGTACCACCTTTCAGGCTCTGCATCTAAATGAAAAGAAAGAAAGAAAACACGAAAACAAACAAACAAAAGAAACAACAAAACCACATGAGTCTGGTATACTAAATGTAACATATTAAAATTGAACACATCAAAAGGATAAGGTTTTGTCAACCACACCCTTTCAGACATCTTTAGTATCTGACATTTTTTCTATATGTTTAAATATAACTATACTAAAATAGAAAGATATCTCTACTGAATTAAACCAAAGACCCATCTCACTCACTACCCAGTTCTGGACAAAGGTTAACCAGAAATAAACAGAAAGATGAAACATAGTAGGCAGTGCAGTGGTACCTCCTGATGAAACACCACCAGACTCCAGCACAGCTTGCAGCACAGCTTAAGCCCCACTGCTGCCCTCTATACAGAATAGACTTACTGGATTTTACTTCATAAATTTGTCCTATCCCTTTTTTTATAGCATGTATGCTTTTAGAATCTGCATCATTATCCATTCACAGCGATTTCACAGCTCAGTTAAAAACTAAGGAAGCAGTTCTGTATATTAGATTTCTTTCCATATAAGATTAATAGACAGAACTGTGAATCAATTCTTGTAATGTCAATTTGAAAAATTTCTTCTACTGTATTGTATAGTTACTGATTGCATTTTTTTGTGTATCAATTATTAATGTGAAAGGCTCAGTAAGTCCTTAAGTTAATAGCATAAATTTTACAATCAATAATGTATGTTTCAGTACAGTGTGACACCAAAATGTCTTGTTATGCCATTCTATTACTCTGCATCCACATTAAGTTACTAATTGTCACCACAACAGTAAATGATATAATGATGGCATATTTGGAGTGAATTAAAGGCTAGCTTTCAAGACAATGGGACTGATTCTTGAACATGCCAGTTTTTCCATATAGAAGGGATAATGTTCATTGGTCAGGCAGGGTTATCCTGGGTTTTGGCATTTCCAAACAGTTTTCTCATTGTAAAAAAATATACTACAAAATGTGGCAGTTTTGGGGGATTGTTTTTTTCTTTGTTTGTTTTGTCTATGGTTTTCTCTTTGTTTAGGTTCTGTTTGTTTGTTTGTTTAAATTAAGGCAATACCATTCAAACTTCTATCACAACTTGCTGTGGCAGTGAACTGTGAAATTCACTCAAATTTACTTTTTTTCCTAAAAACCAAGATGTTCCCAAATTTAAGTCTAAAGATTTTCTATAAAGACTGAATAGAGACATAAACAGCTCATCTTAAAAAGTATCAGCTTATCAAGTTATAGCAGCTCAGTATTTCACTCCACTGGTGTCTTCCTGATAAAGGACACATCTTACAACCAGATCTTAGCCCTGCAAGCATACATTACAGATGCTGCCAGCTACCTAGTCTGTTCTAGGGGTACAACACCAGTATATTCAACTTTCAGGTGCAAAAGCAATGGAAATTTAATATTGTCATATAGCTCTCACAGATTCCTAGCTACGTAACAGCCCCTAATGAAAAGTAAAAATGAGATCCTTTAATTTCAATCATTCATGTTAAAACTTTATGTGAGATACTACATACGCATGGTAATTCAAAAACAGTATCATCACTCTCAGGAAAATTTCAGCATTTCTTGTTAAAAATTTAAGAGTGGTTCAATTCTTAACGTTACAAGTTGCTATCTGATCTGTACTAGTAATTTGCTGCCTCCTTGGTAGGTGTCAGGCTGATCAACATAGTGAAAGAAACACAAACAACTTTAACGTGGGAATGTTACAGGGAATAAGCATTTTGCAGTTGAACAAAGAACTAGAACTGGGGTGATCAATTTCCTTCTATGCCACAACTTCCTGCATTAACTCAAGCCAAGTAATTTAATATGTCTGGCCCTTATGTGAAGAACTTAAGCAGGAGCTTAGATTTCTTAGTAGTTCTAAGGAAGAAACACATCATCTGTAAACCCACATGTGGTTACTAAGATGTAACATGTTAACACAGAAAGCCTCTGACAAGAACTATGAGCACACATGCTAAAGGGATAGATGACAGAATTAATAGAAATAAAGTCAAACATGAAATACAGAAGTGAGTGCCATCAAATCCAGCTTTCCACCATCATGGAAATACTTACAGACAAATCTAAAATGAACTGCTTTTATAATGTGTGTTCTTAAAATAATTTCCATGTTGTTGTTCTTATTCTGCTTTTGTAAAAACAAAAACAAAACAAAAAGCTTCCACAAAAACCTGTGTTTGTTACTCCCACTGGAAGTCTGTTCCAGATACTCCCTCCTAACTGCCAGGAAACATCTTCCAGATTTCCAGTGTATTCACAATCAGATAATACCATTTGTTCTTGTGCCAGTACTGAACAGCAACACGCATTGCTCTTGACCAATATTTATTCCCTTTAGTATTTTTATGAAAAGCAATTTTCTATTATCTCAGCCTTCATCTTATTTGTCAGAACAACTTCAACGTCTCTAGTAACAGAGATTTGCCATTCCTGTCATCACTGTAGTAGCCCTCTGTGTAACTGCTCCGGTTAGAATCAATCTTTCTCGGATGACCGGAAACGTGTGGAAGAAAGGTGCAGAAGAAATCTCACAGCTCCATGTGCAGTGACACTAACACTTATCCCTTTGCTGGAAATACCTGACTGACAGACTGGAGAGCATCTGCTGCTGTACTGCTCTGCTGTGTTGGTGGTTCAATCCTGTTGCTACGGCCAGATTATAAGACAATGGTCGTTCTCAAATGCTGCCATTTACAAAGTAATTAACCTGCAGTTCACAGTAAAAATTCATATTATTTTTTCCTAGCAATATATATTAATAGCTATTATTACATTTTCTATTATCCAGCCTTTTAGGTAATCTGTTACTGTCAAATGGAATTCAAAGCCATGTTTCAATCCACCCTGTGAATCCTGACTGTTCTCTAGTTCAAGTATTCATTTTAATTCATCACTATTGCTGACTGAGAAATCTCACAAGGGAGTAAAATTCAGAAGAAAAACTCAAGACTTCCAGCATGAATATAGAAACTCATCCTCAAAACTAACAGAAAATTATTTTAAAGGATTTCTGAATTATTTTAAGGGAAACATGGAGCACTCTGACCACTGATAAAAGGCTCTCACTCATACCCAGAAACTTGTTTAACAAAAGTATTCCTCCAACCAATTAAGTATCAGGAGTCAATTATAGTCAGGCCATGATACTACAGGACAAAATATTATAAAAGTGAAGATAATCACTCATAGCATCCTGGGCAATCAGGAAAATTTTCAGACACTAAAAGAAAGATCTTTTTCCCTTGAAAGGGTGCACTACTGGTTTATATAAGCTTTTTTCTTTTCCAAGAGTAAATGTTCAAAGTTTCATAAACAACCCTGTTGAACACCAACAGTGTCCTCATAAACAGTCAGTTCTGAAATTTTGTTCTGTCTTAATCCTCAACTCAAACCCTGAGAAATTAGTTTCTCAAGCATTTCAGTTTTTAAAGGAATATCCTGGTTTTACCTTCTATGCCTAGAAAACAGTAGCTAAATGGTTTGCTAGAAAAGGTTTGCTTTTCTTTCCCTCAGACTGCAACCCTTGTTCTCCAATATGGGATCCCAGTCACATTTGTCACATTCAACTTTGCATACTTCAGCCTTTACATTCTCAAAGCAAAAACAGAACCTGGTCCTCATATCTCCCCATCATCATGTTTTGATCCAAGCTCTCCGTACCTTGCCAAATAATACACCATGCCAAACCACCATGCCCATACGCGCCCATCACATGTTCCTCATTTCTCCATCCCCAAAAAGCCCCAAACTCTCAGTTCAGAGCCTCTCACCTGTTGTTGCACACTACAACAAACCTCTCCTTTTTCCTACACAGCCCCTGCTGCTTTTGCACATCTAAACAAACACTTACTTATTTGCCAGACTGAGTTCTCATTCAATAAAATTCATGGAAGGTCTCCACTGGGAGAAAAGTAAGATGTGCTACAGAAAAGATGACATGTTGCTCCTCTAAATATGTGAACATCTTCAATATAGTGTTTCCAATTAGTACTCCTAGATTCTCTCATCAAGGTAAAAATGGCTACAGCCTGATAAACTCAGGTTTCAACTCCTGACTTTCCACTTCTGAAGAGCACTGAAATGGAGCCAACTTTCTTTTGTTCGTGGTCCAGATTTTGCAGGTATTCTCTCTTCCTTGCAGATCAAGCTGTCTTCTAGAGAAGCTCCTAAGATAGGCACATAGTCTATCAGGCTTACAAACCTACCAGTCTACACAGCAGTAAAATCATGAGGTTTTGCTTGTTTTTAAGTACATCAACATTCTTTAAGGTTTGGGTTTTTCTGCATGTTTTATTTTTCTATTTATTAGTATGAAAAATTACCTCTTCTTTCAGTGCATGCTTCTTCTGCTCCAAACAGATTTCTTTAGCACGCATCAACTGCAAAGTCTCCTTAGAAACTGCATACTGAAGCTTTTCCATACGTTCCACTGCTGCTGCCCATGCTGCCTTACCAAACTTCTTCTGGTCTGCTCGCATTCGATCGTACACAGCTACAGAGGGAAGAAAAGGCAGACAGCTTACCAGTCTACTCTTCAGATCACCAGAGATACTACTGGAAAGACAATGCACATATTTGTACCCAAAAGCATTCAAAGTTCTCTCAGCTAATCGTTATTCCAGAGAGTACTAAGTTTCAAATCCAGGATATAAGTACTCTTAGAACTCTCATAAACTGCAATTAGCTATTTGTTGATCCTTTTATCATTACAATTCTGATTTTCGCTATCCAAGTGTCACCATTCTGAACACACAGTACCTGAAAACTTGAATCACTGGTTGAGAATTCCTAACATAATAAAAATCTCATTAATGCTACCATGTGGTCTTAAACTGTATTGCAAATTTTCCCTGCTTCTAAAAGGGCCAATTATCAGCTACTGAAGTCTCCAGTTTCCCTTAATAACTTCTATAGTGCTGTTATAAGTTTAAACAAATCTTCAGAGTGAAAAGAATTACAAGTTAAAACAAACATTTCAGCTTGACCAAGCGCAATTCTGTGAAAATACTAAATTAAATGTAAATAACAGCTACCTTTAAACTCAAAATAAAGGCTGCTTCACAGAATTACTTTGAATTAACTGAACAAATTATAATCTGTTCTTAATACGAGACACTAATAATCTTTTCAGGAAGCCTTCAGAGTAGCAAGAGTCCTTTGCTTGATTCGGATTTTCTATTCTTGAGCCCCAGACATCTAAGATGACACAGATGAGATTTTCACCATTTTTAATACACAGATCACATGATACTATACACTTAGCTTTGTAAAGCAAAAGCCATGAAAGTCACACAGTCAAAAGGGTAGCGTTCAGGTTCTAGAAGGTATTAAATGCTGTTGACAGGTAATAAAAAGTACTTCTATGTTCTCACATAGTCTTCCTGTGCCATCTGTTAGTATTTCGGTATGTAAGACCACCCTGTGATCAGAAGGCGGCCAAAAAACTCCCAGGCAAGCAACCTGTATACCAAAGGTCTATGGTTATAAACAGTCTCCAGGCATTCTATTTCTCAGTGATTTTCCCCACAATCCTAACTGCTGTACACAAAAAAAGTATGTGAACAGGAAAAAAAGAAAAAAAGGAAGGAAGTAACTGTATATGTTCTTCAACCAGTGGAGTATTTTATTTGCTGCCTTTGTCATAGTAAAAAAAAAAACCAAACCAAACTGATTAAATACATTTAGAATTTGCTCTAATTAAATTCATTTCAACACGCCTGAACTGGTTTAGTCACTTTTCAAAATAACGAGTTTCATGTTACGCGTAACTTGGGTTGTCATCGAAAGGAATCATTTCGCAGTGACTGCTTCTCTTGAAGCAGATCTAGCAGTCATGCAGTGAGATGACAGGAAACACATCAAAAAAGATTTTCTCCCAGGGATACAGGTCATCTGGTTGCACAATCACTATCACCAAGGCGAAGAAAGAAATAGTAACCCACAGTCAGGCATGGAAGACAGTGAGACATAAAATCTCTCAGTGGTAGCCCACACCCAAACTACACTAAAAGAGGTGACAGAGAACTACATCCTCAGGTGTGTTTGCTCCAATAAACTGGTTATTTAAGTTAAAATGGTACACGGATGAGAGTGCAGATATATGGGGCAAGTCATACGACCTGATTTTACTGCACTAACTCTTTAGTAAAACTGCTGCATTCCTCAGGCATAAAAATGCCAAGGTTATATCCAAGACCAGAACAGAGGAGTTTTCACTGAGTACTTAAACTGAGCTGTTGTTCAGTATTTAGAGCTATGGAAAAAAAATACCGAAAGGCAGGGGAGACAGGAAAAGGAAATGAATTGAAAGGTAATAAACACTTACTGTGGTGGTCTGCCACATCCAGTACAAAGGACAGAATTCATCAGGACTCTATGCTCCCTAAATCCTTTGCAAATGTACCATGCAGCTACTACAATCACATCGAGAAAGCGGTTGTGAAACTTTTAAGTAAGATTTCTACTCTGCTCACTTCTGATGTTTTGAAAAGGCTTACTGGTGAAAGATTCAAATAGACACAGAAGTAAAAACGAATGGACAACTGCATTTTCTTCATGGAGGACTGATGAAAAGAAAAATAAATCCCAGTACAATACAGAATATGCTAAACATGAAACAAAGTTTTAGAGATCTTCTATTTAAGGAGTAGTAGACTGTAACTACCTTTCTGTGTTTTTGCCGTTATTTCAAAGTATTTAACTGTAAGATCTTGAATAGAAAGCACAGCCATGTGAGCTTTTCTCTGCCAGTCAGCATCTTCTTTCTGCAGACTCTCAATTCTTCTGGGTCCTAGGTAGTCATTCTCTATGGAGATCTGAAAAGAAATCAGTCCATAATTAGCAACACAATTAATTGTTGCTATTTTGCTAACCGTGACCAGTTTCAGGGTGGCTGTGGCTAAAAAAAAAAAAAAAAAGAGGGCAGGGGGTGGGGGAAGGCACAGCAGAGAGAAGAAACTACTGACTTCTATTCAACAGAGAAAAAGCCTCTCTGAAGTGCTGCTTTCTATGGAAAAAGTGCATCTATGGTTTCATTGCTAGTGTTTCTGGAAGCACCAAAAACCCAAACGTGTGTTTGATTCATCAGTATCTTTTTGGTTAAATATCTTATTACCTTCAAATAAGAAGCACGTTTCATCCAGGCTTTCTTCCAGCCTGGAATATTTCATTCTGAAGTAAATGAATGCTCTTCAGTCACAATGAAGCTGGAAACAGGGGATGTGTTGGGGTAATGGTACGTAATCATCAACAATTTAGTAGTTTTTGTTATAGATTACTTTTTAAAACATATTTTCTAGTGCCTGGGAATTCAAGTATCATTTCATTGACAAGATCAAGGCAATTTTATTTTGAAGTGGCAACTACCTGAAGCCAGTAAAAGATATAGAGTTTCTTTAAAAAAATATTTAAAATATAGCTTTCTCTCCCCAAACTAGAAATTTTTACAGTTTTTAGAAGCTATTGTATAGTCTCAGCACAGACAACAAACTATGTATCTGGGCAACTAAATATTTAAGCCTGCTCCTGCAACACCAAAGCCAATTAATTGTCAATATTTTTCATCAATCAAGAAGACACCTCCCTAGTATATACAAAACTCCCCAAACCCAAAAGTGCTTATAATCTTTTATGTCCCCAGGTATGTTAACCTGAAGTTCTAGTGCCTCAAATACTAAACTTGATTTCACAAATCTACAGTTTGGTCTCAGAGAGCCATTCCACTGTACAGTAGGTTTTCAACTGACTTCAGGATATCTGCACATCCACTTATCCTACATCTTAGAGAGGTGATTTTTACAAGTAAAAACAAATGCCTTCTAAATAATTCTTAATTCGTTGAAAAATGTTTGAAGTAGTTTAATAAGATAATTTAATCTACTTCTTATATATTTCCAAAACCCTTTAAAAGGGAATAGGTAAAATAAAAATGTTTACAAATAATAAGTGAATAATAATTTTACTAGATAAGCTCTATCACATAATTCAATGGAGCACATATGTGCCATGATGATCTTAAAAGTCTTTTCCAACCTAAAGAATTTTATGATTCTATGATTCCCATATACAATACTTACGAGTCAACAGACAATAGTTTCCAAATAAATGCTGAACTATGTACATACTAGTGAATGACAACAGGTGAAATAAACGCTTTCCACTTACACACTACTCAGAAACAGCTTTCAGAAGCAGGATAAAAACCAATACATTTGAAACTCTTCCTTTTTCTATTCCTTGGTAACAATGAGGTGATTTGATACTGGAATTGACATAGGGTCACTGAGTAATGGAAGTAATTTTTGTATGTATCATGTCTAGGAGAGTAAGAAGCCTTGAAGTAACATTTCTTCATGAAGTTTTGCTTGCCAAAGCATTATTCACACATGCTGCAAGCTACAGAGATTTAGGACAGCATAATACAATCGTATCTTTGTTCCTAGAACAAGTATCTACAAGCAACAAAAAAAGAGAAGCACCTTTTCATTAACTGCAATCCCAAGTATCCGTGCCGTCATACATACTCAGGCTATTCGTACAGCAAAGCACAAAAAACCCAAAACCCCAAGAACCCTTTCCTTTACCAGTTCCCATAGAAGTATGCACATATATGTACAGCCATAGGTAGATGGTCATGATCTTGCAAAGCTTTAGAAACTGGAAAAACAAGGAAGAGGACAGCGTTGCAAATGTTTATGAGGGTGAACCAGTTCAGCCTGGTAAAGTTACTGATGTATACTTTCCCTTTATACATCTATCATGTACACATTCACATTTAGAAGACAACAAGCAGCACACTCCACAAATGACTACTGTCTGGAAGGAGGTTCCCAAGCAGTTGCACAAACAAGAACAGACCAACATCATGCCTTAAGGCTGCAGCAACAGTGGCATGCTTAACAGAAGTCTAAAGGAGCCTTCAAAAGATACAGGACAGATGCATCTCCCAAATGCTGCTTGAGCTGACCTGCCCTGATGCTTATAAAGTCTTATAGCCAGTATGTACACAGCTTGTTATCTAGCAAGACAGTTAAACTCTTTAGAATTACTAACCATGAATATATTATGATTCTTCTGGAGCATCTTCTAGTACAAAGACAAGGGTACGGCTAAGGTTCATGTTTGGACTTTGTATCTTTCTGGATTTTAAGCCATGAAATGATGGAGGAGGGATGTGCTGGTTTTAGCTGTGATCATGTTCTTCACAGCAGTTGGGATGGGGCTATGTTTTGGATTTGTGTTGCACACTCTTGGTAATATAGGGATGTTTCAGTTACTGCTGAGCATCATGGAGCCAAGGCCTTTCTGCTTCTCATGCCACCCCACCAGTGAGTAGGCTGGGGGTGCACAAGAAGCTGGGTGGGGGCACAGCAGGGACACCTGACCCCAACTGACCCAAGGGATATTCCACACCATATGGCATCATGCTCAGCATATAAAGCTGGGGGAAGAAGGAAGAGGAAACATTTGGAGTGATGGCACATGTTTTTCCAAGTAACCATTACGTGTGCAGAAGCCCTGCTGTCCTGGGGATGGCTGAACACCTGCCTGCTGATGGGAACTGGTGAATGGGAAGTAATTCCTTATTTTGCTTTTCTTGCACACATGGCTTTTGTTTAATCTATTAAACTGCCTTTTACTCAACCCATGAATTTTCTCATTTTTAGTCTTCGCATTTTCTCCCCCATCTCACAGAGCTGAAGCAAGCGAGCAGCTGAGTGCTGCTTAGTTGCAGCCAGCGTTAAACCATGACAAGAGATGAGGTTCTCATTGTTTCAAAGAGAACAGGTGAAGTCAGAATCTGGGTGCCTGTGGAGAACACGCTCTAACAGGTGAAAAGGCCAGTTCCTTAAAAAAGGTGGCTAGCTAGGAGCTGAGGACAAATCCTAAGCTGAAAAACTTGTTCCTTTCACATTTAAAGCTGTTAGACCAGGATACTTATTCCAACGACCATTTAACAGCTTTTCCAGCAAGAGGCAATCAAGGTTCAGGATGACAAATTCAGAATGAGAAAGTTCAAGAATAACAAAGAGCTACAAATGCCCTGAAGATCTAGGCTCCCTTGCTGATTCCTGGAGTAATATTCTTCAGCCACAAAGATCTTTGTTACTCTTTGGATAGTCTAGTTAACTCCCTGTGGCCACTGCTGACAGCAGGAGTAATCTCAGACCATTCACAGGGCAGCAGAAATCAAATGAATTAAAAAATAAAATTCATGGAAGTTAACTATCTAGCAGCATGTCAGGAGCTTGGCACTGTGTATTACAAACATAGCGTAGTCTTTCATGTAGAGCAGCCAGAGATATTCTCATGCAATGACGAGGGAAATCAATCAAGATGTTTTAATATTTCACTTCATAGTGAAAAATAGGAGGATTCAATTTTGGGGAACACAGATGTGTCAGAAGGAGACTCCAGAAAGGTACTCTATGAAAACAGACCCCATTGTGTCCTTAAAGACAGGTTCTTGCTTCCCAGCTTTGCCAATAACATTCTGAATGGCAACAAATTTTAAGAGTCCTCTTTGCTACCTTGGAAATTGCAGTCTCTGGGGTCTAGCTGTCTGCCGCTCCCTGCTTCTTCCAGTTCCTGCCCAAGCTTACTTTTCTGGTCCTGCCTGACATACACAGCCTATGGCCTCTAAGAGCCTCTCCATTGACCTGAATGTGTTACAGTGCTCCCCATGGGAAAAGCAATCTCTTCCCATCCAGCCAGTACATTCCACCAGATCCAATCTCTCCATCAAGAAATGAAATAAAGAAAAACAGGGTTACTAACAAACAAACAAAACCACAAACAAATAAACCCCACAAAAAAAAAAACCAAAAAAAAAACCAGTGTAAAAGAAATACTGCTAGCAACCTTTCAAAAAGTAATTACTATCATTCTTTATAATCAAAACAAAACAACAGTGACAAACTGAAAGACAAAGGGCATACTAACAGCCACTTTTGGTCACGTACCTGCCACACTCTGAGGAAACACGAAAAAAACAATAGCCACATCGTGAGTATAAAAACTGACAATCACTGATCACTTGAGAGAAGAATTACCAGTTTTGAATACAACCTACCTAGAAAATTACTATAATCTCACAGTAATTAATGAAATCTATGCTTACCATCCTTGCGGGGCAGGACAGACAGCCACAAGGGAAAAACAAAAATGAACAACTGAGACATAGTAGTAAAATATACACAGTACCACTTGCCAAATGGCCATATAAGGATTATGTTCCAGTCCACTATCATGCCACTACAGCAAATACACATTAAATCATAATATTCGATTTAAATAAGAATTTGGATACATTTACATAATTTAGAGTTGTATGTTATCGTAGGAACTAGAAAGCAAGACCATGGAGGGGGAAAAAAAAAAAGTTTAACTAAGGGAAGACCACAGGTGTAATAGGGAGAAAAGTTGGGGAGGAAAGACAGGAAACCTGCCTCTGGAGAAAACAGCTTAAGAATATACAGCAACTTTCCTCCCCACCTACAAGACCTTCATGCTGGAAATAACCACTTCGTTTACCCTAGCTAAGAGTTTAAAAAGAAAAAGGGAAAAACATGTGGACCATTAAATTGCAACATAAGCAGGCTCATAAGTTTTGAAGACACTGTTTTCTGTGTTGGCTTCAATAATTAACCATTTTGATATAATACTCTCATTATGGTATGAAAGGAAGCTCTTTTGTCCTTCTGCATTCCATTAATGTTTGCAATGCATGCATAACACATTTATGCTTCATTTTGCTCACTACATGCCTTTATGATGCCAGCATCTTTTGCTTTTATAGTCCATAAGAGAGCACAGG